TCCCACTCCCCCTCTATGGCAGACGCTTTTCTCTCTTCCGTCCTCTCCTCCTCCTCCTCCCCCTCCCTCCCTTTCCTCCTTCCCCTCTTTCTCTCTTCTTTTCTCCCTCCCTCTTTTATTTTCCTTTGAGGCACCGTGTTTTGCAAGACTGTTGCAGAAAGATATCATGCACTCCCTATACCTCCTTTCGGCACACAGTTCTTGTCCAAGGTGATCATTTCCAACTGTCCTTGTTCCCTTCCATGTCCTAATTGCCCTCCCCCCTCCCCTCTTGGTGCTACCCACATCCTAAGACACTCTGCACCCGCCCCCCAACAACGACAACTGACAAACTGGCCTTTCCAGAACTCTCTTTGGCTCTCAACCATTTTCCCCCTAGCAACTGTTTATGCCTGAGAAACCAGGATTTCACCAAACCTACTTTTTTTAAAAAAATTTTTTATTAGTGAATCGGGCAGGAGCAATAGCATAGCGGTAGAGCATTTGCCCTGTGCACAGCCGGCCCGGCCGAGCTGGGTTCGATTCCTCCGCCCCTCTCGAGAGCCCCGCAAGCTACCGAGAGTATCTCGCCCGCACGGCAAAGCCTGGTAAGCTCCCCGTGACATAGTCCAATATGCCAAACACAGTAACAACAAGTCTCACGATGGAGACGTTACTGGGCCCGCTCAAGCAAATCGATGAACAACGGGAGGACCGTGATTAGTGAATCACCATGAGGTACAGTTACAAACTTACGAACTTTCGTATTTCAGACATACAATAATCATTCACCCATTCCTCCACAAGTGCCCTTTACCCTCCAATGTTCCCAATATTCTTCCCACCACCTCATCCCATCACCCCCCCCCACCCCCGCCTCTGTGCAGGGCATTCCCTTTTGTTCTCTCTCCTTTGGGCTGTTGTGGTTTGCAATAGAGGTCTTGAGTGGCCATCGTGTTGGGTCTATATTCTACTTTCAGTACGCATCTTTCAACCCGAATGGGTCCTCCCAACATGCTTTACTTGGTGCTCCCTTCTCTATCTGAGCTGCCTTTACCCCCAGCATGTGAGGCCAGCTTCCAAGTCATGGAGCAATTATCTCTATTATCCCTGGGGAGTTAATCTCCGATTCTGTTACTTTATATTCCACAGCAGAGACAATGGACTGACTGATTGATGTTTCATTAAAAAAAAATCGGCAATATGGGAAATCAAATGCTAGCCTTGCATGCGGCCCACGCTGTCTCCATCACCCAGCACTTCAATGGGTCCCCTGAACACCCCCTGAGAGCAGCCGCTGAGCACTGGGCCAGGAGTAGTCCCCAAGCAACACCAGGTTTGAACCCAAACCTCATCCAATAAAACTTGGTCATTCTCCCACAGTAAATAAAATACCTTTCAAATTGTTTCCTCCTCAGGGACCACGCTGTGATGAGGAACCATCACGATCGTGATCACAACCATCCTGTTGTTTGTCGATTGCCTCGAGCAGGCCCCAGCAACGTCTCCTACTGGGCCCGCTCGAGCAAATCGACGATCAATTGCCCTGACCCTGAAAGAGCCCCCAATACGGCAGCGTTGGGAAGGACGAGTAAGGAGAGGCTGCGAAAATCTCAGGGCTGGGACGGATGTAGATGCTACTGGAGCCCGCTCAAGTAAATTGATGAACAGTGGGATGACAGAGACAGTGACAGAGATATATATGAAAGTTCACAAGGCTCAAACTTTAACAACATGTTAGTGATCTCTTATAGAAGGTCTTAATGGCCCCTGCAAAAACAGAACAATCTCCACACTCTTTCCTCTATGGATACTTTTCTGAGGCCTTTTCAGCGGTTTTTCATAACAAACAACACAAAATATATTATTTCGAGGCTGGAGTGTTAGCACAGTGGAGAGGGCATTTACCTTGCACACGGCCCAAACCGGGTTCGATTCCCAGCATCCCATATGGTCCCCTGAGCACCGCCAGGAGTAATTCCTGAGTGCATGAGCCAGGAGTAACCCCTGTGCATCACCGGGTGTGACTCAAAAAAAAAAAAAAACCTACTGATGTCTTTGATGTCTTTTATAAACATCTCTCATGGCTGTGGGAGGACATCAGGATGTTCCTCAGTTTGTTTGCTTATTTGTTCTTTTTTTTTTTTTTTTTTTTTTGCTTTATTGGGTCACATCTGGCAATACTCAGGGCTGACTCCTGGCTCTGCACTCAGGAATTACTCCTGGCAGTGCTCGGGGGACTTTATGGGATGCTGGGAATCGAACCCAGGTCGGCTGCGTGCAAGGCCAGCGCCCTCCCCGCTGTGCTATAGCTCCAGCCCCATTTGCTCTTTCATTTGCAGAACAGACAACACTGAGGGTCCCGGGACTGGAGTGATAGTACAGCAGGGAGGGCGTTTGCCTTGCACGCGGCCTAACCGGGTTCGATTCCCAGCATCCCATAGGGTCCCCCGAGCACCGCCAGGAGTGATTCCTGAGTGCAGAGCCAGGAGGAACCCCTGAGCATCACTAGGTGTCACCC